AATTTTGATAATAGTTTATAAAATATGTGGTTGAAAGTTGTGGTCCTATGAAATGTGTGATTAAAACTAATTCTTGAATTTTACTTAGATTAAATTCTTGTGAGCTTTCAAGGGATTAAATGTTTGTCCACAATTTTGGGGAGTTATGTGCCAAAACGGTCAAATTTGAGGTGGGTTAACTGATATTTAGCCTAGTCAATACCTTTACTAGATGATAACGAGGTGCCCCACGCCCGCCTCGCCTCTTCCCTGCCCCGATCCTGGCTTAAGGTGAGTACGTTTATAAGTTTTTAAATTTTTTTGAGGAATTTAGGATTGGGTAAATGGGTTTGGGTATTCGGTTTGATAGATTCATTTATAGAATTATAAGATTAAAAAAAAAAATTAATAATTATTTGACAAGCTATCTTTCACTTTCCCCTCGTTTGAGCATTGTTCGACTACAGTGTTTTAAAAAAAATTTAGATTTTTTTTAAAAGAAGTATATAATTGGGATGGCGGCGGGGCAGCAAACTTGACCACGAAATGCCCACAGCCGCCTTGTTAAAATCTGATAATTTTGTCGTGTTTAATTGATGAGAGTATGTTAATCCTCATTATTCCGATTGCGAAAAGGTGTTTGGAATATTTTTGAATTAAGCCTATGTGCCAGAAAATGTTTACCAACCTGGTTGACACACACTCACATGCGCATGAGACCTACGTTGAACTCGCGTGAAATAAAAATGAGAAAAATGCTTTCCCCTCCACAATGTGAGTGTTCTGTCATACCTTCCCTGGCGTACCAGCTTGGTCCATTTTGCATAGACAAATATAATGACTTTGTGAATGAGATTATAAATTGAGCCATAGTCAAAGTTACTTGATTGATGCGAGTGAAAGTATTGAGTTCTCTAATTTCTTCAAAATAATAATGCTAAAAGCACTTGTCAATTATAAGTTCATTGTCAACATAAAGGGACGAGACGGTCGATGTACAACATAGGCTCACTGCTCGAGGTGGAAGCATGGATTTTTCCAAGCAAATTGTCATCCCTCTTTATGTGGGGGAAATGGAGATTTTAATGGACAATTTTGGTTGAAGAAAGCGATTCAAGACTTCTTTTACGTTGGCAAGTAATTTATTTGTGGGAAGTTTCAAATGACCATTTGTGTCTTCTCTCTTCATTTTTATCATTTTCTTCAATGTAAAAAAAAAAAGTTGAACCTCAACCTTGAGGGCCCCCACCGCCCCATCTTTGGAGCATTGTGAGGGAGGTAAATCGCAGGATGTACCTCAACAAGTCAGGGAACAAGAGTTTACCCGTACACTGATGCCCACAAAAAGTCAAATTCCATATATCAGGAATCGAATCCTCACACTACGGCTGCTAGTAAAACTGAGACTATCTCATTCATATCTTTTGCACCACTGAATTATGCCCCGAGAGGCCCTTCAATGTAAATTGTATGTACATTAGTCCAATGTGCACTTAATGAGTTTTTTTTAACCCTTTTTTACGGTATAATCAAATTCATTGACGCTTCCATAAGAAAACATTAATAAGGACACTAGTTTATCACTTTGAGGGAATGAGAATCTTGTGATTTGAATCTCATTTATTCCCTAAACTTTTATATCTCAGTGTTAGCGTTAATCTAACTGCTCTTTACAAGAATAATTTAAATTAACATTCCAATATTTAATGCTTAAATAAATAAATTTGATTATCATAATTAAGTTTAATTTCACTCGAGTAAATTCATCTAATCAATTATCAAAAGGGAAAAAATAACTTTTCTTCCATTATATTTCGAATATAGTCTAACCTACATTACCAAACATATACTTACGAAAAACAAATTAAGTTTGTTGAGAAAGTTTTAGTCAAATATGTAAAATAGTGCATGTATTTAATGTTTAAATATGTAAAATAGTGCATGTATTTAATGTTTACTTTTGACCATACAAATTTGTCCAAAGAACCAATTGAATTGAAAAAATGTTATGATTATCATATTCAAGAAGTATTCAAGATATCTTAACACACACTCTTTATAGTGATTCAACACAATTTATAGAAAGAAAATATTTAGAAATTATTGACTTTCCCTCTTAGAGAAGTGTAACTCAAACTAATCTATATTAAGAATTCTTTTCCTCGACCAAAGGGACGAACCCAGGATGTTGAATCAGCATGGGCGGCCGTAATAAAATATTAAGGGCTTGTTTGATGTCATTTTTGTCAAAAAAAAGAAAGCATTTTGGAATAGTGATTTAATGGAAAATGTGTAGTTAAAAATAATTAAAAATTTTGAATTTACGTGTAATATTATTTTATTAAAAAATGTTTGATCGAAAATAAGGGAAAAAAATTGTATTCTAAACTAAATGAGAATCAAACAAGGCTTAAAATTTAAATAAAATAATTATTTTGTTGAAGTTGAACATATATAATTTTGTTATAAAAATAAGTCGTACTTACCAAATAACATTATTGCTCTGTATAATTCAAAGGAAGAGCACGGTATTAAAATTTTTACAATTGCATTAAAACCACTAAAATCTTACATATATTATTTTGTTAAACTTTGTACCACAACTCATCAAGTGTCATAATAGTTAAGCTTTCATTATATCTCAGAATAGCTCACAGGTTCGATTCCCCATTAGCCCTTTCTTTATTTCAATGGCTTTTGATGAAAATTGTATAACTAAAAATTTATGCAATAAATTGGTGGACAGATTCAAACCCAGGACGTAAAATAAACAAATGCAAATGTTGACCAACTCAGCTGCAAGGAACAGTTGAAAGAAAAGTGACTTACCAGTAATATATCCTTTATATTTGTCTATTCTTAGCAAAAAAAAAAAATGGCTCCCGGCGGATCCAGCACGCGCGGCCACGGGGGCTCGCCGGGTGCTGAATCCGCCAATTTTATGTCCTAATAAGAAAATAGAAAAATGAAAATTATATGGGAGTGTATAGAACCCAGTGATGATGTTGCCTCCTTACAAAATTCGCTTTCATCACTTACATATCCTTCGAAATAAATAAAATAGATTCAGTATACCCCCATGTGGTTAAACTAAACGTGAACTAAAATCTAATTCAATGTCGACAATAACTTGTAACCATATATTTTATAAGAATCACAACTTTTCAACGATACATTTTATCAACTTTTATTAAGATCTATCAAAGTACAAAATGATTTATTTGCTCTTTCAACTACAATTTCCCATTCAGTAATATTTTCCTCCAACGACTTAATATGATCATACAACAATTTTGTTTAATCAAATTACCCTACTTCGATTTACTTGCAAATCTAGTCACTTCATCAACTCTATCTCAATCATATCGCTGTCAAATTGATTTTTTCAATTAGAAAAGGAAAGAGAGCATACGAAAGTGCATTGTCAACAGAAAGGGACGAGACGGTCAGTGTACACCATGGGCTCGAGGTGGAGGCATGGATTTTCTGAGCAAATTGTCATCCCTCTTTATGTGGGGGAAATGGAGATTTTAATGAACAGTTTTGGATGAAGAAAGCGATTCAAGACTTCTTTTATGTTGGCATGAAAATTATTTGTGGGAAGTTTCAAATGACCATTTGTGTCTTCTCTCTTCATTTTTATCATTTTCTTCAATGTAAATTGTATGTACATTAGTCCAATGTGCACTTAATGGTTTTTTTCTTTTAATACCCTTTTTTACGGTATAATCAAATTCATAGACGCTTCTATAAGAAAACATTAACAAGGACACTAGTTTATCACTTTAAGGGAATGAGAATCTTGTGATTTGAATCTCATTTATTCCCTAAACTTTTATATCTCGATGTTAGCGTTAATCTAACTGCTCATTACAAGAATAATTTAGATTAACATTCCAATATTTAATACTTAAATAAATAAATTTGATTATCATAATTAAGTTTAATTTCACTCGAGTAAATTCATCTAATCAATTATCAAAAGGGAAAAAATAATACACCCTATTAAATATTACGTACTTTAATTAACTTTTCTTCCATTATATTCCGAATATTGTCACCTACATTACCAAACATATAGTTACAAAAAACAAATTAAGTTTGATGAGAAAGTTTTAGTCAAATATGTAAAATAGTGCATGTATTTAGTGTTTAATTTTGACCATACAAATTATTCCAAAGAATCAATTGAATTGAAAAATGTTATGATTATCATATTCAAGAAGTATTCAAGATATAATAACACATTCTCTTTATAGTGATTCAACACAATTTATAGAAAGAAAATGTTAAGAAATTATTGACTTTCCCTCTTAGAGAAGGGTTAACTCAAACTAATCTATATTAAGAATTCTTTTCCTCGACCAATTATGTCCTAGTAAGAAAATAGAAAAATGAAAATTATATGGGAGTGTATAGAACCCGATGATGATGTTGCCTCCTTACAAAATTCGCTTTCATCACTTACATATCCTTCGAAATAGATAAAATAGTTTCATTATACCCCCATGTGATTAAACTAAAACGTGAACTAAATCTAATTCAATGTCGACAATTACTTGTAACCATATATTTTATAAGAACTACAACTTTTCAAGGATACATTTTATCAACTTTTATTAAGATCTACTGAAGTACAAAATGATTTATTTGCTCTTTCAACTACAATTTCCCGTTCAGTAATATTTTCCTCCAACGAATTAATATGATCACACAACAATTTTAATCTACTTATCTCTTTATTAATTACTGAGTTCAAATTAATTCAAGCACTGGATTATGAAATATGATTAAGGAGATGTTCCCATGGTGAGTTGGGATGGGTTAAACATATAATTCTAAGGAATATAACAATCTACTATATATTGTGGGCAGACCACTCATCTTTTGGGAAAGGACAGAGAGCATACGAAAGTTGATACATAATATCCAATGAATTAAGAAATTATATGTTTCCATGGCTTAAAAAAAATTTTAAAATAAAAATAAAAATTAAAAAAATAATAATAATAATTATTTCGGTATGTAAGGTTCAAATTACTATTCAATTGTCTATATCAGAATAGTTGATCGTGACCCAATCATCTAATTCTTCACATTCCAACTCTTTATCTCTGATTTGAGATTCAGAATTTTCATTCACTTCAATCCATTCCTTAGCATCAGCTGTTGATAAAACTTTCTTGATCTGTGATGGTGTAGATCGTGATAGATCATAGTCATCATCCTCCACATCACTGAATGAAAATTCATCCCAATTTTTAGATTCTTTTCGAGAACTATCATCATAATCCACATTGGTAACGATTTTTGTCACATTTAGAGCCTCATCAGACACATTATGCTCGACAGTGCTTTCTTCTACTCCTTCGATATCCTCCTCGGATGAATCTGAATCCTCAAAAGCTCTCTTATTTTGCAACATATGCAAAATTGTCTCCCTCATTTTAACAACCTGCATGAATCAAACCTCTATTAATAAAAGAGAAGTGTCTTCTCATTTTACAACTATTTTATCAATTTACCCTACTCATATCGCAGATAAATAAAGAAAGTTATTTGAATCAGAATAACTACTGAAAAAAAAAAAAAGGGACTTGGTAAATAAGCAAATAAATCTGATTGTTTATACTCAATCTTTCTTGTACAGGGAATGGAAATTTAGGTAGAGAAATATAATAGCAAAGATGTAAGAAACATTCAGTTTATTCCTTTGGCCTAAACTAAATGGTTTAGCAAATCATGCACAACGATACACAGTTCTCTTTTCATCCTTTGAGATGAACTAGAATATATGTTATCTGCCAAGTGGAAGGGAAAACGACATAATCTAAGAAAACTACAATCATTTCCTGTATGTGACTAAGAAATGTCGATTGTCGCATATAATTTAGACGCCTTTGGTATCCCAGTGATAAAAGTACTCTTAATTTTCAACTAACACTTCTCAGTACCTACTCCTCTTCTCCTAATGCTGAGACCTAAAGTAATACAGACTAAATGATAGAAAAAGAAAAGGGCATTAAACTTCTAAGCAGCCACTAATTCCCAGTTCAGATCTCTTTCGGCGCTTTGAGAGGAGTAAATTCGATGCAAGGGAGGAATATTGGCTGATTTTATACTTGCCGAAGTGGAATCAAAAGTAGCTCCATTCATTTCTCGATAGCTTGAACATACAAATATCTAGAGTTGACAAATCGAGGACAATATATAAAGAAGAAGGGGCAGAAGAAGGGTGTGATCGTATCAAGTTAGAAATTTCAGTAAAGTACGATAGGAGAGAGTAGAAAGACATGGAACTATTGAAACTGACAAAAAGTAAATAAGCTACTTCCACTTAAGACGAACTTTTAAGCCATTCATATTTAAGTTCAATGAAATCTTAAGTAATGTGAAGTTTTTATCAATATAAGCTTTATACATTGTTGAGTAGCTCGAAGTCAAACAGAGCCTGCACCTTCCCTTCTCATTGCACTTTCAAGGAAGTTATTTTACTTACGGTAGTAAAGGTAAAACTAAAAAACCGACAAGTACTGGACTATTCATAAAGAAACAAGTATTTCACACAAAGCATCGTAATAGGGATAGAATCTTGCCTCTGGAGTTGCTAGAAGCTCTAAATCCTCTTCATTCAACCTGGAAAACAATAAGGCAAAATAGATCATCCAAAATTTCCCGTGGCTTATTTGACGGCTAATTTTCTGCCTTAATGTCATAAGACTTGGTACCAAACGCTCAATTTCTGAAGCATGTTCTCTCTGGTAGTCAGACATATCAACATCTGCAACAACATATTTTAAAGCTTGGCACCAACT